TTGCATAGATACATAGCTCATCACAGTGTCTACTGTGCCTTTCGTTTTGTTGTCAAGTGACTATTTCTGGCATCATTTGTGTTGAAGATTCACTATCAATCTTTTTTATGAGACAGGGTCTCATTATGTCATCTGGGCTGGCCTTGAACTTACTATGTAGTGTAGGCTGCCTTGAACTCACAGGATCTTCCTGCCTCAGCCTCTGGAGTGCTGGGATTATAGGCGTGCACCACCACTCCTGGCTTCACTATTTGTATTATCATGGCATAACCTGGCAGTATCAGTACTGATTTTTCCTTGCCCTATATGCCAATGTTTTCTTTCTGAAATCCAAAGATTATACTATACATTTCTCTGCTGTGAACTTGCAACATTTTTTTTCAGGAATCTCTGCTGGTTCCTGTGAATAGTTTCTGTGCTGGTCAACTGGTGTTTTTTCTGTTTTTTTGGGGGCTTTTTTTAGCAAATGTAACATCAATGGATACCTAGTGAACCAATTGTTGAATGTGACATTTTGGTTACTTTTTGAGATAAATACGATAAGTCTATTCATGAAGACATATAGTTTATTAGTGCATGAAGAAAGACCTGGTAGCTGATTTCCAGGATGAATTTCTAAATATAAGGTGTACAATGTCTTCACATCTACCAAGGCACATATATTTTTATACCATATTGGGAAGGTTTATTTGACATTTGTTGCTGAAAGCTATTTTTTTTTTTTCTTGCAGTACCGGGGATTGAACTCACAACCTTGTGCTTGACAGGCAGGCACTTACACCACTGAGCTATATCCCCAGCCCTGTTGCTGAAAGCTATATCAACCACAAAATGGAAAATTAAGCAAGTTGTTCATCAGTTGTCATGTATTCAAATGGTGTATAAAGTGCTTTGACAGTTTGCAACAAAGCTTTCAGAAAATGAGCAAATAGCAGCCAACTTGTTGGATTGTTTTCTTTTTTGGTGAGTCTTTTTGTCATCAAAATATAGATGGTTTTGCAGGAAACCAAATCTCTTGAGTGCCATTGTTGTAAAAATCTCAATGCCACATCTGTCACTTCTCCATAAATCTTTCGGATTCTGACAATTAGAATGAGAAAGTCTTGCTAAGAAGGCTTTTAGTTCAGATAGTGAGGTATCACAATAAGTATATTTTTTTGTTTGTTTGTTTTTTGTTTTTTGTTTTTTTTCCGGTACTGGGAATCAAACTCATGACCTTGCGCTTGCCAGGCAGGTGCTGTGCCGCTGAGCTAAATCCATATTACTATTAGTGCATATAGAATGTTTTACTGGTATATCATTATTAGTGTATTTTATAACATTTTGTAGCATATCATCTGTTACAAACAATTTCCAACACTGAATGACAGTGTTGGCATTGTATCCAACAGGTTTCAGCCCTGGCGAGCAAGCACCTAATAACACTTTCTAACCTAGTTCTAACATTGGATCTGTACATGACCATTTATAGCATTTTGACTAGTCAAATATTTATTTACATTACTGTTTTCTTCCTTCATCTGAATCCAGGTCTTCATTCTGTACTTCTGTATCTGTAATATCTTGCTCCATCCCACTGTCACAGCTTTAGCTTACATAATCCACATCATCATCAATAGCCAAGTCACTTGATGACTCACTTTTAGCCTCCTCCCAAAATTGTAAGAGCAGATTTTCATGCAACTTTATACTGAACTGGGCTAACTCTACAAGAGAAATGAAAAGAAGACATTTACTGAAACAAACTATAAATACACAAAACTGTGACACAGCATGTAAGATAGGTAAAACTCACTTGTATATACTTGAACACACATTCGTATGTCTTTCTATTCAGTTCGTCTACCAAGTAGGTGAACACAAAGATTGCTTCCTGTATTCCCCTAGTGTAGCTACTGAGACACACAGCCAGCTACTGTTATGCTAATGTAAATATTTTTCCCACACTGGCCTCAAACTTACCATTCTCTTGCCTCAGTCTCTTCTTGTGCAAGAAGGTACTATGATACTTGGCTTGTATTACAGTATTTTTGATTCCTAGCATTTTTTTTTTTCTTGGAATTTTCACATCTCTGCTTAAATTTCCCTTTGCCTTCTCCTTCCCTCTAGTTTATTCATTAGAGTTAGTATTTTAGCCATTAGCTTAGTTGGTTTGTGTTGCTCTAAATAATACAGCGTGAATAAAGAAGAAAGGCATTTTCCATAGTTCTGGAGACTTAGAAGTCTGAGATCAAGACACTGGCATGTGGTAGCTGGTGACAGTTGTCTTGCGGTGTCCTCACATGGCAGTAGAGTGAAAAAGTGAGAACTTATCCTTGGATCCTGTTTTTTAGCAGCATTAATCCATTCATAAGGTCCTCTCATTAAGGTCTATTGCCAAACACTACTGTTTTGGAAATTAAATGTCCAACATTAGAGTTGTGGAGCTGACGAACGCATTCAAACCATAGTAAACCAGTTGCTTTAAATCTCTAGACCAGTAATTCTAACCTCCTCACCATATCTGAATCTGATCCTGATGCTCTATCTATTCAAATTGTTTTGTTTTGTTTCCCTTTAGTGTACCTTGTAGTTTTTTTTTGTGTGTGTGTGTGATAGATGGCCATGAAGTACAAGGTAGGAAGAAATACTGGAAATATGCCTTCACTAGTGTGGTGAGAAGAGAGCTATTCTATAATTCTATAATTAGGTCTCAGTCTTTCAGTGAGCTTATCTCTGAATTGTGAACCTCAAACATCTCAGTCCCCTCTTAGATGCGGCAAGGTGAGTGGTGTTGCAGTTTAGATCTAAAATGTCCCCCACAAATCTCATGTGTTCAGAGATTTCGGAAGGTGGACTTTTAGAAGGTGGTCAGATGATGGGGCACTGTACTCATCAGTGGATTAATCACTGATGAGTTCATAGCTGAATGTGCTGTTAGGAGACAGGGCCTAGTTGGGGTGGTAGATCACTCAGGGCGTGACCTGGCAGAGTGTGTTCTTATTCCTGGCTCCTTCCTTCCCTTGATCTGTTTCCTGGCTACCCAGGATTGAGCAGCTTTTGTCGGCCATGGCCTTCTATGCCATTTCTTCCTTGGAGCCAGGCAGCTATGGACTGAACTCTCTGAAACTGTAAACCAAAATAAACCTGTCCTTGTTTAAGATGCAGGCATTGACTATTTTGTTGCAGTGATAGGAAAGTGGCTAGTACAACTGGTATAGGGTTGAAGCTGTGCATTTCCCTGCTTTTCTACATGAAAATCTAGAGGGGGCCTGAAATTGAGGCAGTGCATTCAGGTCAGTTGGGCTCTGATAAAACCCCAGCAGGTTAGGCTCTGTTTAAATAGTTTGTCCTCGGGGAAGATCTGGTCAAGAAGAATGGAGTCAAATAGAATGTTCTGGAGGATTTCAGAATTGTCACCTTTTCTCTCCCCGCTCCTAGAATCCCAGGGAGCCTTTTCTCTCCCTTATTCACTATGACAACTTAGTAGAACTCTGGTTATCCAAAAGAATCCCCTAACCCCACCATGACTGGATTCTCCTGGAGTTTTTCTTTTCTTTTCTTTTCTTTTTTGTACCAAGAATTGAACTCAGGACCTTGTGCTTGCCAGGCAGGTGCTTATCCCACTAAACTATATCCCCAGTCCCTCTCTTGGAGTTTTTAACTGTCGGATTCCACACACTAGGTCTCCAGCAGCTAATCAGTTATGGTTCAGGTTTCCTACACTGTTTCTGGTTCCCTCAGAAGTCTTTGCTGTGATAAGTTGTATCTACCTGTCTGTCGCTCCTATTTTGGTGTCAGCAGTTTACCTATGACCTCATTCTTACAGCTTTAATAAAAGTTATTGATTTTTCAACTTGTTCAGTGTGTTAGGTTTTTATCTCTCATTGCTGAGATGAAATATCTGACACCCATAGTTAAAAGGGGAACGATTTATTTAGCTCACGATTTGTAGAGGATTCAGTCCATAATCGGCTGGCTCCAAGGCAGGGTGGCTTCACAGAAGAGAGCAGTTCCTAGTGAGCAGTAGACAGCAAAAACAAGCTAGAGAAGAAAGAGAAACATGCCTCTCTCTGCCCCTTTTATCTAATCCAGACTGCTGGGGTTAGGACGGTGCCAATGCAATTAGTGGGCTGATCCAGCAATCACCCACCCTTAATCCCCGCATCCCTTAATCTCAGCATTGAACCACTAATCAATCATATACTCTAGATTCAGCAACCTCCACAAAAGCCCCATTTAAAGTACATGAGGATTTGGGGGGACATCTCAACACAAACCATAACATTCAGATTTTAGCTTTCTGTTTATTCAGATAAAGGGACAACTTCCAAACTATATAGCAGACTCGAAACCAGAAATCTGCAAGGGACAACTTCCAAACTATATAGCAGACTCAAAACCAGAAATCTGCAAATGTCTTTTGTCAGTGTATGACAAAAAAAAAAAAAAAAAAAAAAAAAAAAAAAAAAGCGTAAAATGAAAACATGTAGGGATTTGTATAGCAATTTGACATTGCCACAATACCCAAGTATATAATTTTGTATCATACAAAAATCTCTGTAACTGCTATAGTTGGGATCTAAATGTCCCCCTAGGGCCTGTGTGTTGAAGGTTTTGCCCCTAAGGTGGTGCCATTGGAATGTGGTAGAACTGTTGGCATATGGACCATAGTGGGAAGCCCTTAGGTCAGTGAGCAGAGGATGTCCTTTCAGTAAGGACTGTGAGACCCTGGTCTCTTCCTCTTTGTTTCCTGGTTTATAATGTGAGTGGCTTTGCTTTGCCATGCTCTCTCACCATGATGTGCTGCCCCACCCCAGGCCCAAAGCAATAAGAGCAGCCAATCATGTACTACAATCTCTAAAACTATGAAACTATGAACTAAAGTAAAGCTTTTCTTCTTACAAGTTAATTATCTCAGGTATTTTGTTTTAGTAAGAGCAGTTAACTAATGCAACAGCAGATTAGAAATTAGAAACAGAACAAAGCAACCAGCACTAACAGTTGTTTTTCACTTGCAGATAGAAGCAGCATGGGACCAGGAAGAGTCAAGAAACTGATAATTTGAATAATGATTTGGAATGGAAAGATCCCCTTCTTGCAATTGTCTAGACTCTATCCTAATACCCAGAGAAGTTCATATTGTCTGCAGTGGACTTGGAAGCATAATGAGGGTTTCTGGACTGGACATAGAGGGGTAAGCACAGACGTCCCCCACTTCCCATTACCTCATCCTTGCTGTCAGAAGGACTTGCTAAAATGAGATCTAATTGTCATGCCCTCACTTAAATCCTCCAGAAGAATCCTTCTGCCTAATACTTCTCAGTTTCTTGGGACCATTCACAAGATCACCACTTAATTGGTGGACTCAGCCAGTTTCCTTCCATACCCCCAGCCTGGACAACCTTTTCTGTTTTCTTGGAGGATGTGCTTCTATCCCCACACCTGTGCTTTTCCTGCTGCTTACCTTTTCTTGGCAAGATCTCACATGTTTTAACACCTTCCTTGGTTTTTGTTGATTTTTTTTTTTTTTTTTTTTTGATCCTGAGGGTGGAACTCAAGGCCTCATACATGTGCCTCTTAGCTACATCCTAGCCAACATCTTTCTTTTTAAGATTTCTACACTTGAAGTCAAAGGCCAGATGCTCAATAAGTGTTGTATAAGTATAGAGCAAGAAAGGGAATTTATATGCTAAGCCAGACCTATGATAATTTCACTGTATTGCATCTTCATTGGACATTTCACAGCTGGAAAGATGGATGTGTCTTAAACCTTATCTTAGTTACTTTTTCTCCTTGCTGGGACAAAATACCCAAGAACCACAATTTAAAGGAGAAGAGGTTTATTTTAGTCATCTGTTTAGTCCATGTTAGGCCAGGTCCAAGGCAGGAAGGGAATGTGAGAGGGCTTGGGCAGAGAGCGGTTTGTGGGATGGCAACCAGGAAGCAGGAAGAGAATCAAAGGAGGAGCCTGGAAGGGAGGTATGGCCTTGTAGGCTATGCCCCCAGTGATGCACCTCTTCCAACAAGACTGCATCTACTCAGAGGGTGTCAGCTGTAAGGCCCCTTACAGCTTACAGGTCAGCTCCCAAAAGCCCCACCTATGATCACATGACACTTTGACAGGACATCCAGATATAAACAATAACAAACTTTTAGGCAGGAGTCAATACTGAATAATGCAAGATCTGGCATCTCAACAAATGAGCCTGGGTAAGATTGGGTGTCTTAGTTACTTTCTAGTCACAGAAACTCAATACTGGACACCCACAACTTAAAGGAGTAAAAGCTCACATTTTATAGAGGTTTCAGTCTACAATACAGTAGCTCCATGGCAGGACAGTATGGTAGAGAGGCATAGCAGAGGAATAGCTGCTCATATCATGGCAGCCTGCAAGCAGAGTCAAAGGAGCAGCCTGGCAGAGAGCTACAGCCAGGAAGAGCACTGCAGCCAGGCAGAGAGCTACAGCCTTCCAGACCATGTCCACAGTGACCCGCCTCCTCTGACCAAGCTCCACCTCCCAGCATCACTTTTAGCTATAAACTTACCAGTGGACTCATCCACTGATGATCATCCCACCCCCATGATCCAGTCACCTTCCCAAAGCCCCACATATAGGCACATGAGGATTTGGAGGGACATCTAGCTATAAATCAAAACAAGGGGTATTAATACAGAAGAGGCTTCTTACAGTGAGGCACAAGGAGGGTAGCTTTCCAGGATGGAGGAGATTTGCTGAGATTCATACCCTTCTCAGGTGGAGATGTTCTGCAGAAGGGGTTGACCAACTTTTTCTGTAAAGAACCACATAGTGAATACTTTGGGTTTCTTTTCCAGGTAATCTCTCTTGCAACTGCTTTGTCATTGCAGTATAAAAGCAGCCATAGACAAAAGGATGTGACCGTGATCTAGTGACACTTTTACAAAAGTGTTGCAGTAGCATTTATAAAACCACCTGTAGACTGGACTTTAAAGGAGAGAGAATGTCCCCCTTCCTCTGCCCTGCCTCCTAACAGCCTGTTATGAGATCTCAATGGGTTTACCACTGCAGTTCTTAAACCCCCAGATCTTTCTTTTCTCAAAGTAACATAAACACTGAACAATCTGCACCTACCCACTTATGAGTGCAGAGGTCTAACATGTCCTTGGATGGTGCAGTGGAAGCTCTAGAGACCTTCCTGTGTCCTGTGTTTATAAGATCTTTAACCCAGGTTGAGAAGAGTTAATGATATTACTGATATCTCTCATCTTTTCTGAATCTGGCATCCAGACATTTGTAAACTACATTTTGGTTCAACAGTAATTTATGGAGCACCCACATCTTTACAATGTAAAAGCTGAATCAAAATGGTGGGTTGGTCAGCTTTCCAGTGCTGGGACAAAATACCTGGCATCTACGACTTAAAGGAGGAGAGGTTTATTTTTGGCTCATGATTTCAGAAGTGTTGGTCCGTGATCAGGTAACCCCAACACAAAAACATCATGGAGAAAGGTACAGTGGAACAAAGCCACTCAACTCTTGGTACCCAGGAAACACCATGGGCTGGAAAAAGTCAGAGGGGAAGAACAGTCCTCAAGGTCATGTCCCCATGACCCACTTCCTCTGATTAGGCCCCAACTCTGAATTGCTCATTCTGCTATGAATTTATCAATGGGTTAACCCATTGATGATGTTAGTGCCTTTCCAATTCAGCCGCTTCTCCATGAATCTCATTCCAGTCAGTTGACCCTCAAGATGAACCATCACAGCGACAGGGCGTATTAGTTGTTCATCACACAGATGCATAAACTAAGTTTGTTTTTCTATAGCTTTTTCTCATGAGTGTAATGTGTATAAGTTCACAACCTCTCTTCTCACTATTTATCCTGGGACATTTAGTTTTTCATTTTGAAAGACCATTTTGAATAAATTTATTGTCAATTTTAGAGAGGACTGGCTTATTTTAGTTTGTTCTAATGTTATGTGCTTTTATGCTTGAGTTATTTACTATGACTTTAGTTATTGACCTATTTTATTTGTCATTTTATAGCACACATATTTTCAGTGGAGACACTTAGCCTAAGCTATATTTATTTATACCACAGTGCATTAGCCATAAAACTATCTAACTACAGTAAAACCACTATAATCTGGAACCCTTGGGGAGTGGGTTATTCAAGATAGCCAAGTTTTAAGAATTAACATTAACTATTTGTGTTGGAAATCTTTCTATAATATGTTCACTTCTTAACCTGGAAACAATATATGAAGTCTCATTTAACTTTGACAATAACTCATGGTCATCAGTAAGACTTGGACTGTGTAACTCAGTTCTCATTAAGTGACTTAGGTACTTTGTTTTAGTTGTTTGTTGTTGCTTTAGCTCTCATTGTCCCTGCTTAAAACCCTTCCGTGTTTCTGATTGCCGCCTGCTGTATTTTTCACTGGTCTTCTCGCTAAGTCTCCTTCTGACTTTCAAGTCACTGCTGTTAGGCGTCTGTGGACTTGGAGATCAGATGATGGAGCTTGTTAGAATATGGCCAGAGTATGGAAAGGCTTCCCCAGGCCATGGATGGTCAGACTCTGAAGTCTGTATTTACTTGCAAGCAATTCTGGACCCTCTTTAGAGTCTTATTCACAAGCAAGTAGGTTTTAACCGTGGGCAATGAGAGGGAGGAGGTGTGGCTCCTGGCTCCTCTACACTTTCTTCTCCTCCTCCCAGAGCTCTGCTTCCAGCCAAGACAGGGAAGCTCTGAGGCCTGAGTCACAGACTCAAGGGAACTAGTTGAACACAAGCTAGAATAAAAAACCCAATTTAAAATATGCCTCATTTTAAGTTCACAAGCTTTTTTTATGGCTATATAATACTATTCTGCTAAAACCCCCTTTCCTCTCATTTGTAGTGCTGGGGATCACTCCTTGGGTCTCACACATAAAGGCAAGCATTCTACCACAAAGCTACCTTGCAGCCCATCCCTTCTCTTCTTTATCTTATTGTTTATAAACCCTAAACATACGTTCTCTTGGCTTGTACTTCACTGGGACTAAAGGTAAAGCCTTCATTTAAAAAAAAAATACATTATATATATATATATATATATATATGTATATATATATATATATATATGAGTAAAATTACAGAGCCCATAATGTAGTTTTTCTTTTTGTCTTGCACATTATTTTGGATATGTTATGTTACGGCTTGTATCTAGATGTTCCCTCAAAGCCTCATGCAATTATAGGTGGGGCTTTTTCAAAGATGGTTGGGTCTAGAGTGTGTGACACTGGAATTGATTCATGGTGCAATGCTAGGATTGAGGACATTAGGATTAAGGGAGTGAGTGCTACCCACCCTAAGTAACCTAGATAAGATATAAGGGATAGAAAGCTGTGGTCCTTCCTAGTTGCTTTGCTACTTTCTGCCTGCCATGAACTGTTTCTCCTCTGCAGTTCCACCCTGGCTTGGAGCCAGCCAGTTACGGACTTAAACCACTGCAAACTTTGAGCTACGTGAACCTTTCCTCCCTTAACTTTGGGTGTAGGGTATTTTGTCTCAGTAATGAGAAAAGTAACTAAGATACATTACATACAGTTCTTTACCATACCTAGGTTCTTAGCACAGTACCAATGAAAAATGCTTTGTTGGAAGTGCCAGCAGGTGAACCTTGGACCTAAGCTTTGGGGTTTTGCATACTATGTTACACCTTCTCTGCTGTCTTTATCTTTCCCCATCAGGGCTTCAAAACAGTGCAAAGATTATATTGTCCCTTGTGTCATAGCCAGGAGGCCAGAGGTGCAGCAGTAGAGAGTGACTCTGCTGAGGTCACCCCACTGTTGGCACTCACAAGTTTGGGCCCACACCCATTTCTTGCAGTGCCTGTGGATTTTTCCACTAGTTCTAATACTTCTCTTGTGCGTGATAATGAGACGTAGTTCTGACTGTGTAGACTGGGGTCACCAAACCCTCTGAGTACGTGGAGTATCAGATCACACAGAGAAGGGGAGGGGAAATTGATCACAAGACATGTGATGCTGAGGGGGAGAAGGCTCATCATCCTGTAGCCCCTGGATAGGGCTAAGGCTGCCCATTGGGTATTCAACAACCAACTCCAGCTGGCCAGGTGGATGCAGTAATTTGGGTTAATTGGTACTAAATATAGTGACCTTAATGTTCTGATGTTTTTAGAAAACTAGGTATTATTTTGCTTAATTGTGT